AGTTCAAAATTTTCCCAAGTCTGAATTTTACAATGGCCTCGAACATTTAGAACAGTGGTTCTCTACCTCAGTTGCCAATTGGAATCACCTGGAGAGCTTCTAAAACTGATAGTATCTGACCCCAACTCCAGAGATTCTGAATTGATGGATTTGGAGTGTAGCCTGGACAGTGAGATTTTTTTTTAAAAAGCTCCCTGAGTCATTCTAATAATGTTGCAACTGAGGTTGACAGCCATTGATGTGTGTGTGTGTGTGTGTGTGTGTGTGTGTGTGTGTGTATACATAAAGAATTACCATAATAGGGACACCTGGGTGGCTCAGTTGGTTAAGTGTCCAACTTTAGCTCAGGTCATGATCTCATGGTTCATGAGTTCCAGCCCCATACCAGGCTCTATGCTGATAACTCAGAGCCTGGAGCTTGCTTCAGATTCTGTGTCTCCCTCTGTCTCTGCCCCTCCCCTGCTCATGCTCTGTGTCTCTCTCTCTCAAAAATAAACATTAAAAAAGTAATTAAAAAATTATCATAATATAAATTCATATATCTACTAATTACCCTGATTAATAATGTAATATAATATATAATTATACATAATATAAATATTATAATTATACACATATGCATATATATTTATGTATGCATATTTATACTAGTCAGGGTAATTAGTGGTTGCTGCTATAACAAATAATCCCAAAATATTAGTGGCTTTAGTGAAGTCAAGTTTATTTCCTGGGAGTATGGATATGTACTTTCTTGCATATGTATTTTTTTGCTAGACTTGGAGATGGCATATATCACTTCTCCCAACATCCCAATGGTTAGACTCCATCACACAGCACAAAACTTAACTACAGAGGAAATTAGGAGACAGTCTTTTTGTGGGCCCAGGAGGAACAAATGGTTGGTGAGCATCTAGTCAGTTTCTGCTACATAGAAATACTGTGAAAATGTGTGTAACTTCCTTACCTGACACAGTGTCTATAATGCCCTTATCTATCTATCTATCTATCTATCTATCTATCTATCTATCTTTCTATCTGTCTGTCTGTCTGTCTGTCTTCTCTATCCATCTATCTCTCTATAATTATTTATTTAATGGGCTTAGAGTTTTTGTCAACATTTAAAATTAAGTTTATAAATGATATTGTCTTATATTCGTAGAATCAGTGAGACCATAACTGACCTTTCAGTTACATTTTCCATAAGAATTGTCTAGAAGGGAATGAGTGGAGAGACCTCAGGCTATCTAAATCTGCTTTAACCCAAACAACTCTGCCTGCTTTTCAGTGTTAGGTTTCAGGGTAAGTTTCATTTAAACTTGGGAATCTAACTCTAACCATAAACCCCCTACTGAAGATCACCACTTTTCAGCATTACGTTGGGGGAGATATGCTAGAACGGTGCTTCTAATTTTGGTGATTCATAAAGATCCAGAACTGGGGCCTTGCAGATGTCAAAGGTGAATTTACTAGTGAACTTTTTACCTTGCCTCCTGCCTCCTAGGACTGTGGGGGGTGAGGACCCCTCCACCTGCAACTTCCTTCAGGCACCTGCAAAGTCTAACCATGTCCTCACCATAGATACAATGGGGAGAGAGCTGCCCTGTTGTCCCTTATTTCAAAGTTTCAGTAGACTAGGAACCCTGCGCCCTTCATCCTTTGTCTATAGTGCTTCATGCAAGAGGCAAGTGTTCAAAAAATATTTGTTGAGAAAAGCAGAGAAAAAGAAGGAGTGGAAGAGGAGGAGAGAGAGGAAATGGGTTGCTCTTTTGCATGGGTTTTTCCTATTTTCACCTGTATTTTTACTTCCTCCAATCTCAGTCATTGATCCATTCAACACATATTTAGTGTCTACTGTGTACCAGGCATCGATCTGGGAAATGGAGCTATGAGGACAAAACAGAATCTTTGCCGTCAGAGGTCTCCCATGACATGGGGGAGGCAGCAATGGGTTACAGGGTCATGATGAGTATTCATGAGGGTGGAGGGAGGTGAGGCAGAGGGGAAGAAGGAGGGCTGTGCCAGGTGTTGCTCACCTTTCTTGTCCTCCTTTGGTTGCTGGAAAAGCAGAGGGGAGCCTGGATCTTGAATCACAAATATAATTTGTAGTTTTGCAGTTTTGCAGATTGCTATTGTGATTTCATATATTGTATTTGATTTATTCTTCATCTGGCAAGTGAGTCGTGCTATGTTGTCAGAAGGTCTGGGGATTGTAGTCTCAGTTCCACCTCTGTAAGGTGAGAGGCTTTTGGTAAGATACTTGAACTTGTGCACAAGGATAATTACCCAGCATTGAGGCAAGGTTCAGAAGGGCATTGCTCACAAGTGCTTTTTTTTAATTATTATTTTTTTTAATGTTTATTTATTTTTGAGAGAGAGCAAACATGAGCTGGGGGAGGACACAGAGACAGGGAAACAGAGGATCCAAAGTGGGCTCTGCCCTGAATAGCACTGAGCCCCATTCGGGGCTTAAACTCTCAGACTGAACTGTGAGATCATGACCTGTGCCGAAGTCAGATGCTCAACCAACTGAGACACCCAGGTGCCCTCACAAGTACTTAAACTAGGGCTGTTAGATATATAGATATAGATAAGGATATGGATATGGATATAGATAGATATAGATGATGAAAATGGGCCTTAGAGACATCAAGGAGTTGCCCTGGCTAAATGATGTAGAAAGGGAACTAAGATTTGAACACAGCTTTCTGACCTCAGATTTCCTGTAGTGTCAAAACTCTGGACCAGGCACTCCTTAGGACCTTGGGTCTGAACTGAGCTCTCAGTGAACTTTCTTCATAAACCAAAGAAAAGTCAGATCTCTGAACCAAGAATCGTAGACCCTGGGAGAAAAACGAGACTGAGAGCTCAGCCTGCAAGAATAGTGCCCCTGTCTTCCCTGTGGCTTCCCAGTGGGAGTGAGGCAGGTGTGGGTGTGGACTGGACAGGCAGGATGGGGAGCTGGTTCTGGGGCAGACAGAGTCGGGGGCGCAGTGCTTACCATGAATGATCCACAAGAGAGTCTGCTATAGTCAATCTACAAACGTGTAGCAAGCAGGCCTCATCCTGCCTGAAACACAGAATCACTGTAGTTGAATCACGAGACTGGCCTAGAAAGGTGTGGAGAAGACACTGAAGGTGGATAATTTTGGTGCGACCAAAGACAAGGAAGGCTAAACAGCACATCATGCTGATTTCATGTTGTGACAAAAATATCCAGCCTTCTATGCTTTGGAATTCTGATATATCAAGTTCCCATTAATCTTTCTTGAGAGCTCTGGCCTTCTACCTAGCAGAGCCCCAGGGGACACCCAAAGCAGAGGTCACCATGCAGAGAGAAACACAGAACCACGCCCTCTGTCAATGGCTGGTAGGATCGATGGGATATGTGATTATCCCAGGATGTTTCCTTCTTCTTTTTTTTAAAGTTTATCCATTTTGAGGAGGGGGGAGGGGCAGAGAGAGAATCCCAAGCAGGCTCCACACTGTCAGTGCAGAGCCCCACGCAGGGATAGAACTCATGAACCGTGACATTGTGACCTGAGCTGAAATCAAGAGTCAGAGGCTTAACCAACTGCATCCCCCCAGGTCTCCCCTCACCATCAGGATGTTTTCAGTGTTTCCACTTCCAGAAGAAAAAGTGAATCACTTAGGCATCATTTAATTTCCCCCTAGAGAGAATTTTGTGCTAAAAAGGAAACAGAACTCTTCTGATTTCTGCAATTCCCGGCACAGCTGCAAGGAACACCTCAGGTGGGCTATGGAAGGTTCCCAGCAACCGTTTAATGGAGCTGTGGCTTTCTCCTAAGCCCTTCGACCTGTATGCTGCTTCACTTCCACCCGAGCTAAAGGTCTAGAAATAGCGAGCATGATGCCTTCTAAATGACAATAAGACCAACCCTCAAGGGGAAAAAGGGAGCATAGAGAGGGTAATGATGCTTTTATTTATGAAATGGGAAGAGTCACGGGGATTAAAAGTAACAATGGATATTCCTTTATGTGGAAGAAAATAAGAGTGGACAGAGAGCAGAGCGTGGAGTTAGCAGGAAATCAGACCCACTTACCTGCTATGACTTCATTCATTTAAAAATGATGCACCTTCCACCATCAAATAGTAAAAAATGAGGCTAACATCAGTTTGTAGAGGTCATAATTCAGGCTTGGCTCAAGGATGCAAAACAGCCCATGTCCTAAAAAGAGGTTTATGATTGTGTGTGCCAGAAAAACCATTTTGGATTCATTAGCAGTTAGCTGAAATAACAGATTTTGTGACATTGCCAGGTCCTGTCAGATGTATGTCGAATGTCAAATATACAAGACCCTCATGTTTATACAGACATTTGTGAGAATGTCAGAACCTTTCATTGAGACTCAGTCCTATAAGTGAGCCCAGTCATAGATACACATGGAAATTTGCAAAATCAAATTCACAGCCTTTTTGTTTCTCTCTAACCCTAAGCTTACAGTACTGAGAATCAATTCTTAACAATACATAATGTTAGAAGTCAGGCTCACATTGGGGTTTCAAAAGTTGGTTTGCTGCTTTTTTTTTTTTTTTTTTTAAAAAATGTGTTAATTAAAATCGGCAAGGGGGAAATAGTTTTGCCTTGATCTGTATGTGAAAACTAATTCTTCTCACATCAATAATCTTCTAGCATTTAAAAACAAGGCCCTTGGGGTGCCTGGGTGGCTCAGTTGGGTAAGCATCTGATTTTGGTTCATGTCATGATCTCGTGGTTCATGAGTTTGAGCCCTGCATTGGGCACCGTGCTGACAGTGCGGAGCCTGCTTGGGATTTTCTCTTCCCCTCCCTGACTCATGCTTTCTCTCTCTCTCAAAATAAAAAAAACCAAGGTCCTCAGACCATGCAATAATGACATTTCCAATATATCTCTAAGAACTACAGTTAAAATAAGAATAAAGTACATTCCGTGGACAAAATTGTGATCTAAACAACTCTAACAGTTTACACATATATAACATTTAAGTATACTAATATAGTATCAACCTAATTGTCCTTTATTTTGGCTCATCTAATTTACAAACATGATCTCTGAAGTTTAACAGTATTTGTAATGGCAATGTCCAAAGCAATTTTGGCTGAGTAAAGTGCTATTTGTTGAACAAAAATGTAGTTGTTTGTGCAAGTTTAAACATTTCACAAGGCCAGCTGAGTTCATTTCAACCCTACTTACAAAATAGTTATTGGCAAATGAAATGGGCTGGGGGGTAGAGACAAGACGTTTTCAAGCTTCTGAGAGATTTACAAAACCAAGTTTGTCAACCACTGAAAGTAAAATTGAAAGGTCACAGACAATTAAAAGGTACAGGTTTCAATCTCAGGATTAAAAAGGTTCCAACAAGAGGAATATTTACAATGGAACAATGAGGAAAATGTTTTGTTACAGACAGAAACATGGAAAATATGCTGTTGAAAATTGTTGGCTCTGAAATAAATACAATCCAGACTGAGACTATTAAAAATATCAAAGTGATCTACCATGTGCCAACTCTATATTCTTCTGTTGTTTGTTATAAAGAAAATCCATTATTGAATATAATGCAGTTCTGGTTAAATTATCAGAGACATTTTCTGTATGCAAACTGTAGCTTACTGCATGCTGTATATTCTTCTCTCACAATTTTAGTACACTTCCATCATAGACCCACAGGCATAGAATTAGAAGGAAATTTGGAGTAATATTTTAACTTGCTAACCAAGGTACAAATTGCTTCCAAAATAGTCATTTGATTCATTTCTATTTAGCACCTATTACAAGCAAGATTTTTTTGGATGGCAAAATAAGAGATACAAAAAATATTCCAAGATGTTCATGGCCTGTTAGGTAGAAGAAAGTATCCTTGTCCCCTGACAACCATTATGCCTCTGAAGAGTGACAGCTCACTACATTGCAAGGAAATCCATCCCTCAGTGGGCAGCTCAGTAATTAGGAAGGTGCATGTTACACCTAACTTCATGGTAACTAACCTTAATTTTGTCTTCTGAAATAAGATGGAACATACCTAATCCATCTTCTTTAGTGTAGCATTTTGAAGATTTTGAGAGGAATTTCCTAGGTCTTGTAAGGGTTCTGTCTCCTTCATGTAGCAATTTTACTTCACCTTTAAATTTACCACCCTTTACTCTCCTTGGGGATTTTAAGAATTATTTCATATCAATTCAGTGAGCTTAACTGTTAAATATCCAATATCGCACTTAAAATAAAACAGCATCTTCAAATGATGACAGTCAAAAAACAAGAGCGATATAGCATTCAATTGGAATCAATTTGGGATTATCCTTTTGTAATTAGACTAGCGATGACTAACAACAGATGTTTGGGGGGGAAAGGATGAAGCATCTAAGGCTTGCCAACACTATTTGAGGGGAGAGGGCATGATAAATCTTTTATAATGAAACACATGTGCTCTAAGACAATGACTGAACTTGATATCCTAAAATACTTAAATCTAGTGGTTTAAAAATCACAAGATTAATTAGGTCATGTTTTAGAAATGATGCTACAGTCTAAATTTCTCATTGGCGAGAAAGAACTCTGCTGTCTTTAATGAATAAAAACAAGGGACTAACTCAAATATGTTAATTTTTCTGCTAGTGGTTATACATTTGGCACCTTTTGAAGCTGTCACTACCACACCCAGGATAATTTAAATTCAGGAAACTCTATTTAGCCTCTGAAAAGCCCCCTCAAATCACGCGTCCATGCAAGAACACAAAGCCAAGGGTACACTAAAAAAAGAGAGACTGTTTTATTGTGACATTTATGACATGGACCCCTTGTTGACAGGAATGACCGAGGGTAATCTTGGCATATTGCACAGGTGTGATGAAGGATGCACTGGTGATCCTCTGGCTGCTGAGGCTGCTGCTTGGTCCTCCCAGACCTCCATGCACGCATGGGCCAGTCACAGAAATTTCCTTACCACTTGGTGTATACAATTAACAAGTCTTTGGTCTTAATAAGCACCATTACAAACCCTCACATTAAGGGCATTATTATTCTAGTTTATAAATGTTTCAATGATAAAAAATAGCACGATTACAGTATACACACACTTAATTTACATGTAATGTATTATGCTCATAACTGAGATAAGCTACTGAACTAACTTTGGTTGATTGAAATTAATGAAGTATTTGAACTGAATATTTGTAATTTGGTTTCTAAGTTGTGTAAATATTACAGTGCATTTATAGATCTAGTTTGAGAATTTACTAGCACCAAATAGATATTATAATTGGCCAACCTAGTACTTGTATTTGGAGAAGCAAAGTTTAAAAATTTGGAAAATACAGAGCAGTCCATCGATTGAAAGCACATTCCTGTACATCGGCTAGAAGGATGACACGTCAGCAGGAATGGCAGACCCCCAATAAAATACGTGTCCCAGTTTCCAAGAGTCAACACATATGACAAGGTAGCTCAGCTACACACATGAGAAGCCTGAGAAAGTGGTTGTTTTGAACTAGGGTAGTCACCTGTACCTCACTTTTTGTAATATAAGAATAGTGCTTATTTATAGAAATTTATTTGGTGAAAGATTGTACCTATGATATGAAGATTCTGATTGGGGGAAAAATTCAGTTCTACCTATCTATCGTTGGTTGTTTTTCTTTTTTTAATTATTTGGTCTCTGTATGGTGAATTAATGAAGCAAAATCTGAATTTTCATCTTCAGATTATCACCCAGTTCACCACTGAGGTAGTCTTTGTCATATTTATCTTCTAGCTGATTAAGTTCTTTCTTTTTATAAAGTGGAGTACTACTGATTTGTAATGAATAGGTTCCAGCCACTGGCTTCTTCTTGGTGAAGTGGAGGTAGCTGATCCCTTCCTTTTGGTTGATTTTGAAGAAGCCATTTTCGTTTCCAGATTCGATCAAGTATTTGTTGTGATTCGTCAGAGTCGTTAGGGCCGGAAGGAGTTCCAGGATTCGGACCTTGTTGCTGATGTGGGAAATATTGAAAGCAAACATGGCCGTCTTCTCAACATCCCAACTTGCGAGACTCACGTTGGTTTCTATCTCAGGCTGGTCCTGGAAAGACACATGGCAGTGTGTTAAATTAATTGAAAATATGCCACTTATTTCTCATATTAAGGAAAAAGTGACTCGAATCTCCCACTAATACAGCCTTTTCATGTTGTATATACCATGTCGAAAATGCGGATTTTCATAAAACACTTTGTTTAAATCACAAATGTGTTAAACTGGCACATATTTATAATAATAAAAAACATTAAACTGTCAAGAGGAAAGTCAAGTTGAAATGACTTGGTGGTCTTCTAATGCAGGTGTCCCAAAGTGTACTCCCTGGACCAGCAGCATCAGCATTACCGGGGAATCTGAGAAACGCAAATTCTCGGTGCCACCTGAGACCTACTGAATCAGAAACCCTGGGGGTGTCTCCCCAAACTCCATGTTAACAAGGCTTCCAGATGATTCAGACGCACGCTCGAGGTTGGAAACCACTGTTTCAATAGACTATTTTCTTTCTGTAGACTTATCTCCTTTCCCAAACCACAGCGGATGAGTTGGAGCACCAATGCTAAGAAAGAACCAGCCTATTTCCATTTTGTTCACTGACACAAAATCATCTCCTCTGAAGGACACGCCTAGGAACCTACTTCCTGACTCTGATGATCTGCTAATATTCAATGCTTTTCACCTGGCTTCTTGCTTGCCTCTCTGGGACCACATGTGTTGGATTCTCCGGGCCTGGAGCCAGAGGTCTGGGTGAATATCTGTGCATTTCTGAGTTGACTGAAAGGCTGCAGCAGCCGTAGGCTAAGAAAACCAGGCTGCTTGAGCTCCATGTTGTTTTTGTCTAGAATCCAAGTTCCCTCACACTCCACATGGCTCTTTTCAGTAGAGGAGCCTCTAGCTTTCCGAACTTGGCGTCCCCATGGAGAGAGCACTATGTCACTTCACGATTCTGCCCACTTGCTGTCCTGGATCTCAGACCTTACTTTTCAGCAGACTTTGGGTGGGTGTTTGACTTTCTTTTTGGCGAGACAGAGGAAATGAGCAAGTATGTGAAAACCTTCGAATGGCCACTCCCTAAAAGCAGCAAGAAACTCCAGAGAGTCCCACAGACTCTTGTAAAATGCAGCCTAGAGCTCAGGGAATGTCTGGATTTTCTCCCCAGGGAGCTTTTTCACACTTTGGAACATCCTTGGAGGAAACCACAGGCATCTGGAAGGCCCTTCTGCAACAGGAGACATGAGGAGAAACTACCTTCTGACCTACCTCAATGTTGGAGGCATCTGTTCCATTTGCACTTCTCCGCTTCCTGCCCCGTTTGGGGTAGCCATTGATCTTACACTCATAACAAGCCTCCGGGGAGAGAGAATTGTCATCCATTTCACCGCTGGCAGGTGGCTCTGGGCCTCCTCGGCCCATGCCAATTCCAGAAACACAGTGCCTGTGGAAGGGAAGCACAGCCCTTTTTCATTAGAACTGGGAGATGAGGGAGGTGGTGCAAGAGTTCTGGTGAAGTGTGGACCCCACCTGGTGACACTGAGACATTGATTATTCATCCATTAGGTGACTGGCTGGTTCTGAGAGCCACACTGAAGTCCTCTGTGTTTAGGCTCTGAGTCCCAGTTCCTGGAGTGGATTCCTTTCTACTATCTCTCAAGGTCCTGTTTTGCATATTTATTTGCCCCTACATTTCTGCCCCCCTCCCCCACTGTACCAGGTGTTTTGCTGTCCTTATGCTGCTGGGGAGGGGACATGGAGTAGAAAGAGGAAGAGTGGGGGATGAGGGAGATCATGTGACTTGGGAGGGTAAAGAAAAATGTCTTCTATTTATGAAACAGAAAGTGAGAAAGGTATGAGATGTCTGTGTTCAGTTCCTTGTCCTCTTCCTGTTTCAATGACCCCATCACCACCACCTCCACCACTACCACACTCACCAGCCCTCATCACTTCAGCTTCTGAGCACTTTCTATTGTTTGACCACTTATTTTGGCTGAAGCTACTGAAGGTATAAAGAAAGTTCTAGGTAGAACTGAAGTTGACTTAGAAATAAACTGTAAAGATGTGCAATGTATAAAATGCATGTATTAGAGCTTGCCCAACTATGGGAAATTGTTTCAAGTCATTCAAAACCACTAGGGCCATTGGCGCTGACTCATGTGAGGCTGGATAAACAAACCCATGCCCAAGAGAGAACTAGTTCAGCTGTTTTTCTTTGCCTTTCAGTTATCAAAGCCAAGTTACGAAGGGAGGCTTGCATGTTTCACAAGTACCTTGTTTTGTTATTCTGCTTACTATTTCATAGGCCTCTTGGAATGTATTTACCAGGCTCCTTTTTCAAAATGTGTTGAAATATCTGAATGATCCTAGGAGTCTTTATTTTGGGGCAGGGTCCACTCTAGTGATTCATAGAGAAGCGCAAACTATTAGAAGTGGGTAGATTTCCACTAATGGGTCACAATGAAGACCAAATATTTATCACTTTTTCTGTATTAATTGGCCTATTCTTATAACCCATTTTTCTTGATGCTCTTGAGATTCAAAATATAATGCCGATAAGCAGACTACTTTTTGTGTTTTGCAGCAATGTATGGGTTCATACTAGTTTTTGCAATCCTGCCAGAGCCCAGTACTTTTCCTTTTTTCTTCCTTTATCTTGCTGCATGAAATGTGCAGAAACAAAATGGATGAAATGATGACTGCTCATCGTGTGTGTGTGTGTGTGTGTGTGTGTGTGTGTGTGTGTCTATTCACATAATGATTAAGTTATTGGAAGAGAAATCCCAAATTTGCAGGCTTTGGTTCTTTTCTCAGAACTCCTTTCCAGTATTTTCATATCCCTGGAACACCACTTACAAGAAGTGTGACTACAAAGTCCCACTGGCCAGAAGCCAGTTTGGAGTGTCACAATTTTTGCTGGGAAAATGGTTCTGGCATTCAACTTATAAAGAATGAGACTACTGAGAGCCAGACACAAACATCTGGGAATTTGTTTCCTATTGCTGGCATTCTGTGTGCTTCCCATGAAACATTCTTTCACCTTCAAGTCTACACAGACCCAAAATGAATCGCTTGATGTTTGTGTGTCAAGAAATCAAAGGCCAGTACATTACACTAATTTGATATATACATATATGTGTATTATGGAATATGTGATTTTGTGGGATGTGTATGTGTGGCTGTACATGTGTGTATGTATATTTCATGTCTATGTGTTCCTAATGAAAATGTTAAAATTTGAGTTCCTTAACAGCATAGACAACACTACATGGACATCCAACTCTAGATTAATTCAGCAGGAAAAAAGGCCTACACAGTGAAAACTTACCACTAAACTTTTAAATTACTGGCTAAAAAAAAAAATATGTCTTTTCTTCCCCAACAGTCACACATACAATGTGGTAAAGTATTCTACCAGGAGGATACAATAATTATTTTAGCTCTCGTATTTTATGCTCTTTTGGTAATTCTTTATGTAAACTTAAGTCTGAGATGTAAAATGTATTTTAAAGCCAGGTATCTTTGTGATTTCTCCTAACGGTAGCTAGAGGAGAAGGCATTTTAAGTCAAGAGAGAATCCTGCTTGCCTCAGGAGAAGGGGAGATCAGCAATATGCAGTGTGAGTCCAGTTCTGTCATGGGTCAGCCCCTGCATTTCTAGAGAAATGAATCACTTCCCAACAAGATGCGAAGATCAAGAGAATGAGATAGAGACACCATATATCAAGGTATTTACAATTGGTTTCAGAGTCTATGAATTTCTAGAAATTTTGATGTCTCCTTTCAAATAATATAGCCTAAAACCTTTGCAGAGCTAACCAGAATTAACTCCAGGATTATGAAAAGTATGGTTCTTCTCAACTAGGATGGGTCACTGTGAGTTAAATATACTTACTGATATTAGGAACAAGAGAGCCTCCGGCCACGGCCTGGAAAAGCAGTGCTTACCCTTGGCCTATCCGGAAGTAACCAGGTGGGCAGCCACACAGGTAGCCACCCTCAGTGTTGGAGCAGCCGTAACTGCAGGGGGCCTGTGAAGAGCCACATTCATTGATGTCTTGGCACCCTCCACTGAACTGTTCGTACTGGAAGCCGGCGGGGCACATGCACTTGTAGCTGCCCAGAGTGTTGTGACAGGAGGCTCCTCCACAAATGTGTGCACTGAGGCACTCGTTCTCATCTGCAGGGAAAACCAGAAGACACTGTGTGTGTGACACCGGCCAGACGTCTCTACTGGGGACTGCTGGCCAGCTGGCTCTCAGCCAGCACTCAGGAAGGTAGGGCGGGCTGAGGTGGTTGGGGTGGGGAGAGGGGGATGCGGACGTGGACGTGGCCTCTCGCCATGCAGTAGGCAAGTGTGGTCGCTGAGGTCAAATGTGCCACGTGGAGCGCATTAGGGGATGGCATTCCGAGGGCCGACAGATTCCAGTTCTCAGCTGAAGCCAACACTAGTGCGTTCCGCACCACACGAGCCTCCTGTGAAGAATGCAGGGCTGGTTCAAGGTTCAGGGTGGGAGGGAAGGAGTCCTGCAGTTCTCCATGAACGGGACCACAGTCTCCGAAGCAGAGACCAGCCATCCTCCTGGAGGCTGCTTTTCCAGTCCTCCGTTTTCAGGATGTGCAGGGCTGGCAAGGGCTGACATCCTGCAGGAAGTGTCTGCCCTGCTTGTACTTCCTTTTCAAAAATCTGCAAAAGCCCCCAGGTGCTTGTCCTGGGGATGAATAGTGCCTTCTGGTATGTCTGCTCCCATCTCTGAACGGGCCCCCCCCTTATCCAAACCAGCCTCCTGCCCAGAGTGTCTGGGCCGTGTCTAAAGCAAAGTATGGCTGGAAGAGATTCAGTGCAGACTTCACGAGCAATAATTGGAAAAAACCCACAATAGAGACAGATGCTGCAGGACTGGCTACCCACGGGGACCTGCCAAGTCTGATGGTAAAAAGCAGGAAAAAGAAATCTGACTTGAAAAATCAACTTGAGGGGAAAAACCTTGAGTATCTCTCTATTTCTAATTTATACTTTTTTTAAATCTCAAATAGATTTTTGTAGGCCTGCCTTCATAAGGGCAGGTTTCAAGCTTGCTGGTAAGACATTTCTTAATTGCTGTGGCCCATTTTCAGGCATATGTTCATTTGAACGCAGGGAGATTGGCCTGCACCTCACTCAGCAAATACTTCCAATGAAAGGGAGGAGGGGGAGGAACTTAAACGTAGCTAACATTTATTAAATGCCTATTGCATGACAGAATACGAGGTGCCTCACGTTCACTTACTTAACCTTCCTGAAAATTATGGGCAGAAGGTATTATAATCCCTGTTTTACTGATAAAGAAAGTGAGGCTCACAAAGCCCATCTGAGGTCTCCTGACAGCAGCAGCAGGACCGAGATGTACACCCAGGTCCGTCTGACCACAGCAGTCACGTGCTTTCCTTTAGACCACAATATCTCTCAAGAGACTAATCACCATTTAAACTGGTACTTCCTTTGCCCTTTAATTGGTTTTACCTTATTTGCTAAAGTAGATTCCTTTATACAGAACAAAATTGTTTCTAAGAAAAATCTGTTTTTAAGTTAGAGAAACAGGTGCATAAAAATGGTGGGCACAGGGTGATTGCATATGTATAATATTTATATTATTCCTTATATATCCCTTCCTTCCTCCTCTCCCTTCTCTCCTTCTTTCCTGTGTGGAAGGAATAGATATACAATAAGAAAGCCCGCTATGGCTCAGTACCTAGCTACAGGTCTGTTTGGGAACTTTTATGTCCAAGGACTCTCAAGTATACACTTAAGATCATTTAGGCTCCAAGGTTCCTAGAACAGAAATAAATATGCCATTGTCTTTGTTCTTTTCCCCTTAGTTTAAATCAGAGATGAAGTGTGTGACAGATACCAGTGGAGACTATGGCACCAAGGAATGAATGAGGAAATTAGGGGGTTTACGTTGGTGGAAAGAATATCCCTGGGTTGGATGTCTTCTCCTTGTCCCTCATGTCTATCTCCAGACCCTGGAGGCTGAGCTGCATGGAGCATCAACAGGCTTCTCTCCTTTGTCCCATACGTTTGGTTGGGCTCAGCCATCCATTTCCTGCTGGGACTCTGATAAAATCTCTAAGGCCCATGTCTGTATATGTATGACAAGACCCATCAAAATAAAACTTAGATTTATTCTGTATTGTTCCAAAGGACAGAAATAGGACCAATGGTTAGAAGTAGAGGGAGGAATAGTTCATTTTCTATGAAAACAAAAACATTTCTAAGAATTAAAGTTTTCTATACCTAAATTGGGCTATCTTGGGAGAAAGTGAATGCCCTTCAAGATGGTATTTGAGTCAAACTAGGATAACCAAGGGAGTTTAGGGAAGGATTTGTGTTTTGGGAATGAGGCCAGACTAGATAATCTGTAAGGGTCTTTCTAGCCTTGAGGATCTATCTGTGTTAGTATAAATATCTATCCCAGCCAAGAACTCTCTTCCTCCTCTTTCACATTCTTTTCTATTTTACTGTACCTTTTTTTATTCCTTGAAAGTCTAATAAAGTTTAAATTAAACTTGCTTATCTGCATTAGAGAACTGGGATGGAGCAGAGCAGGAATGAAGATAAGAAATTGGCAAATGTTCAGTGTTTATTGCTTGAAAATAGTCTGTTTGTGTACTCACCCTTTTCATCAATATACCAACATGATTTGTTTAACATGCTTTGCACTCTTCTGACCATTTCCATCCTGTGCACCCTGGACCAAAAGCCTCCAGGAGCAATTTTTCTGTACTCCAAAATCTTTGTTTTACTATCAGTTAATACTTAAAATTGCTGAGAGTTTTATCCTTTTTTAGAAAAAGAGACATTTTAATTTTATCGAAACAGCATTAGATTCTCCAAACACCCTCCTTGAAAGCAGACTGAAACCTACCCACTCTGTCCTGTAAAATCAGATTTTTGAGCATTAGGCTTGTATAGTGTTTGTTAGCTGTGGTGTTAAGGGAGAACCAGTAAGAGAATTCGAAAATGTAGGAGGGGCTTTCTTTTACAAATTTTCTCTGGGTCAACATGGCTCAACTCCAACTCCACCTGGAAGTTTGATATTTTCTAGAAAACAATGAGATGCAGTGGCCCCTTGCAGTGGCCCCTGACCCTAAACCCATCCATCTTCTAAGAGTGAAATTCTGGCTGCCTATGAGTGAGGATCCAGAGAGGGCTGGTTCAAAAGATCTCTGCTTTGTAAGCGCTGGGGAAGCCATTCTGGCCCAAGGCAATGCTCATTCTCAAGAATTATGAGCCCAGTTTGGGCTAGGATCTTTTGGACATCAAAAAATCCCAAACCTCTTACCGCTTCTTAATCTATTTATTCTAGAACTCCCAGCCAGAGATGATCTTCATGGGGCCAAAGGAGAGCCTCCAGGCAACGAAGACATGACCTGTCCATCTCCACTATTCCTGGACTAAAGGTAGGAAGAGGAGAGGAAGGCTGTCAGTAAGTTGTCTCGTCTAAACTCTTCCAGCACTGGTGTCCTTTTAGCCAACCCTACTCACTTCTGCAAAACCGTGCCTTGAAAAGAATCAAACCAAATGAGAGAGATCCAGTTCTGATAAGTTAAAACACACCAAATGTATCTTCATTTGGAATAAAGCAAAGCATCGAGATGTGGAGCAGCCACCCACGAAACAGTAATCCTTGCCTCTTTGCTAAGGAAGGCTCTCTTCCCAAGAGTGTGGCAGCTAGAACAGCTCACCTGAGCACCAAGCTTGCAGTGGTGCTGTGTAGAGGCTTGATGAATGAAAAACAAAACAAAACAAAAAAACAAGTGAACATGACACTTGAAAGGCAGCCCTAAGTCAGGAAGTTAGGGGCCTGGGGCTCCAGCTGCAGGCATGTCACAAAGGAACCAGGTTAAGGACAGACTTCTTTTCTTCCTTGGGCTTTGAGGTTTTTATAGTAAAATCAAGAGTTTGGGATAAATGGATCCGGGGTCCCTCTAAACTCACAGTGTTTGGATTCTCTGGTGTGCATTAAGATTATTTTCCCATGACATTATGAAATCAAAAATTACATAATTTCAATTTAATAAGTTCATGAGTCTCCCTTAATTTTCAAAAGAATTTAGTGATGATGAAAAAATTTGCTGTGTCTGCTGCTCACACTCTGCCCCAAAAGATGTGTAGAGCTGAATGGAACCACTTCTGTGTCTTCAGGCCGAGAGTCACTGAAAATAGCCTCTGGCTGGCTGATATTTTTCAGGCTGAGGTAGGATTCTGTTGGCCCTCATGTGTACCTGCAGTGTGGGCCAGTGACTCCATGCAGCAGAAGAGCAGGGGGACACTGAGAGTGAAGGGATTCTAGGGGCGTTTCATTTCCGATGCTCTCCAAGTACCTTCATCATTATCTTTTTTCTCCGTTTGCTATTTTGCAAAGGCTACAACTTTCCTCTGGTTCCAACCAGGTGAGGGCAATTTTAAGTGAATATTGTTGATTTAATGACACGTTTAAAGTTTTCAGAAAGAAAGCAGTATTTTGACTCACAGGAGCCAGTGGTGATTCACCATAGTAACAAGGAAAAACTACTTACCGACACACTGGTTCCACTGGTAGTGCTGGAGATAGCCCTGGGGGCAGCTGCATCTGTAGCCCCCAATGATGTTCTGGCAGCCGTGCTGACAGCGATGGTTTCCTTCGCACTCATCCACATCTGAGAAGGACAGGAGAGCCGCTTCAGTCAGTTCAGCATCTGACTCTTGATTTCGGCTCAGGTCACGATCTCCTGGTTCATACGACTGAGTCCTGCATTGGGCTCTGCACTGACAGTACGGAGCCTGCTTGGGATTCTCTCTCTCTCCCTCTATCTCTCTGTCCCTCCCATAGTTGTGCTCTTGCTCACTCTCCCTCTCTCTCTCAAAATAAATAAACTTAAAAAAAAAAAAAAAAGAAAGTAGAGCCAGCTTTAAGCCACATCAACATTTGTTTCAGAGTTGGTCTCTGAAGCAACATTTATATGCATGGTAAAGGGAAAGTCAATTTTAATAAGAAATCTGACCGCTAAAAAAGTATTCTTCCACCAAAACTTCAAGAATATGTGCTCTGGAGCTTTTGATAAGTCCAAGGAAAAAGACATTTAGATATCCCTGGTAAAGTCAGCAAGTAAAAATGATGAAGAAACTAATGTAAGGCACAAGAGTACTCTATGGAATAGCTGTGTAAGTTATTTGTATTTTTTTATTCATGCTAGAGTTAGAAACCAAAAGATGTCAGTACAAAAATAAAATCCTACAAAAAATTTCAAAATTTTAATTATATTATTATCAGAAGAGTCATTCTTCATATATTTAATCCACATTAGGGGAATTCTTTTATGACTCTGGATCCAATGACTAGAATATTAATGAATCAAATTCAGGAACCTAGCTATTTTTCTTGACTAGTTCATGCCCTATTAGATTACATTAATAAGTGAGCAGATAAAGTCTTCACATATTGAGGAAAGGCACAGGTTTAGACATGATCAAGCATGAGACAAAAGATGGATCTCTAAGATATGATACCTGTGCCAACCAGGAAAAATATTCCCCATCTTCAGTTGGGTGATAGTCCTGTGCTCTGTTCTGCTATCCCACAGAGGGTGATAATGAAGATTTTGACAGTCACACAGATTATCTCCACCAGGAATTACCAGCTGCATCAAGCTGAGGCCCCTACCCACCTTCACAGCTGGCGCCACTCTGATCAAGAGAGAATCCTCGCTGGCATTCACAGGTGAAGCTCCCAGGAGTATTCTGGCAAATACCCTTAGACCCACACAAGTTGATGTCAGAAGTGCATTCATTGTTATCTATAAGAAGCAGTTGGGGAAAAGTGGGAATTAAAATGGACTGAACTCACTTTCTGTTGTTTAAAAGGAAGAGAGAGGGATGATTCACTTTCTGTTGTACTCACTTTTTTTTTTTTTTTGAGTTTTTGTCTTCTTATCCCAACAGAGGAACTAGAAAACAATTCCTTAAATGAACAGCTACGTTTCCTATAGGGATTTTCCTCTCCACTTACCAATGCAGGAGGTATGGTGTTGGGTAAATCCAGGAGGACATTTACATGTGAAGCTGCCGATGGTGTTAACACACAGGAACTGGCAGTTGTGCTGCTTAGTTGCACACTCATCAAGATCTATTAAAAAATATGTAAGATGAGTATTGGAGTCAAACTGAGAGCACAGGTACCTAGCAACTGCCCTAGGAAGGAGTTCTGAGTTCTGACTTGTATGTCTCCAATGACTGTGGCCAGAATAGAGATGCAGTAAATGGCTGGGAGTAATCAAGCAAATAAAGGTTTGAAAGATAAAATGTGGTCTCCATTTAGACCAAAAAATGTAGCTCTTTGGGGGATCCAAGGAAATCCCAATTCCCTTCCGTGAGAGGAATGTAGGAATTTATCAACAAAGGAATTTCAAATAAATCGTGACATTTTAAATAGATTACACAATGAAGTAAAAGATTAGGGATTCTCAAAATTTTCCAGAGTGCTGAAGAGATATCTTCAAGTTGAATTACAAAAAGAAATGTTGAGGCTGGAAATTAATTTGTTTGCTTAGGTCTTTTCTGTTTGCTGTTTTGAATCTGTTCAAATGAGGTGTTCAACCAAAGCAAATCAAACCAAACTGACTTCTTTTTTTTTTTTTTTTTTTTTTTTTAGAGATTCTCCTTTGGTAAAACAAAATTGAGCAATCAAGAAGGAAGCAAAGGTAAGAAAAACTCACTCTGATAAGCCAATAGCACATTTAAAAACTGCCTATAGTATTTATGCAACATTATTTTCCATATTTCAATAAAATCCTCCGCTTTGACCAGGCTTCTTTCCTCATTGCCGGAATTTCTAGGCTCATTCTCAACTCCACTGCTGTTTAAAGACATCAAGAGATACAAACTATGTTCCAGCTTTTAGCTGAATATTAATATAAAAAAAAAA